GCATTTTTGTTTATAAAGCATATACTTTTAAAAAATTAACTTTTTAGAAAATGACAGATCGTTTCGCTAGATAAGACCCTTATTCCTCATCTGGTATCGTATAGAGCCCTTTGAAGCTGCACTGAAACTGTAATTTTGACCTTCAACCATTTGGTAGCCGTTGAAGTCCACTATAAGGATAATAATCCTGGAATGTTTTCATCAAAAACCTTAATTTCTTTTCAACAGAAGAAAGAAAGACGTAAACATCTTGGATGACATGGGGGTGAGTAAGTTATCTGGAAATTTTAATTTGAAAGTGAACTAATCCTTTAAGTATGGATCCCCACACATAACATTCAAGAAAAAAGAAAAATGAAAAAAAAAAGCACACACAAGATACCATGATGACCACGAAGTAAGAATTTGTTCCCAAAACTTAAATTCTACCCTCATTTAAGGTAAATTGTGGCCACGATATAACTATGTTAAAATGAGGGAACGAATTTGCACAATATGGCTATGATTTACCCAGAGCTTTTTCAACAGCTCTGGATTTACCTAAAATGAAGGAATTAAAGCAAGACACAACAGTCTCACATAAAAGTCTCACATTTTAACTAATAGATTTCATTTCCCTAGATGATTAAAGGCTGGAATACACTACACGATTTTTGCCCTCATTTTCCACAGATTTACTGTCAGAAGAAGTCTGCAGATTTGAGTTGACAGATTTCATTAAAAAAGAAACGCGTAGTCTATGATGGTCTGATTTTAAGCTTCAGACTATGATTCCATCCAGTTGGAGGATAATCAACATGTTTTATATTTTCAGCCGATTTTAGAACACTTTGTTTTCATGTCATTACATTTCTCCTAACAACAAGGCGCACGTTTCTGTGTGAGTTTGTTGTGATGGGAACAACTTTAAAGTCTGGTAGTGTATAATCCTGAGTTGTTTAGTGTATGATGGCCAGTTTTTCCTCTGTGACTATTACAAAGTCGGTAAGTGTATGAGACCCAGTATTTTAAGATCTGTTCAGTTTTTATAAGTTGTGCAGTGTATTCTAGCCTTAAGAAAATGTTCTGTATTACAAGTTTTCTTAAATATTATGTTTGAACATGCAAATGAGGCATTATCTAATTAAATATGCATAAATCTGAAAACTGGATAATACCAGGATCAAAATTCCTATTTGATTTTGTGGAAATATTACAGTTAATGGTTTACACAGTGGGGGAATGAAATTTTACATAACTCATATGAATGTTATATGAACAAACCCCTGTGTAAAAACCTTCAGAATGTATATAAGAAAAGAAAACACAGTAAAGTTTTCTGTATACGAGTGCTACTGAAGTGGAGATTTCTGGCTTTTAAGAAAATGTCTTATTGTCAAACAATTAAACGATAGCCAAGAATTATCAAGTTGTGGTAAAAAAATTCTCAATTTGTGGCCAAGATATCTGTTTTCTCTCTCTCTCTCTCTCTCTTTTAACCCTGCATGTCATATGCGGGCTCTGTATTAAAGGTTCTTCAGCAGCAATCTCCTATACTCTATCCATTACTGACCCATATAGTAGGTTCCACATTTTCTGTTTTGCTGCAGTCTGATATTGTACATAACAGAACATTTAAGATACTGTACTGATAGTTAGGCACATCAAGCATAACTGCTTCAAAAACAGCCAGAAATCTTGGGGCTATGATTGACGATCAGCTGACTTTCTCAGACCACATTGCTAAAACTGCCTGGTCCTGCAGATTTGCTTTATTCAGCATCAAGAAGATCAGGCCCTTTCTTTTGGGAACATGCTTCACAACTCCTTGTTCAAGCTCTTGTTCTGTCCAGGCTGGACTATTGCAATGCTCTCTTGGCAGGTCTTCCAGCCAGTTCTATCAAACCTTTACAATTAATCCAGAACGCAGCAGCAAGATTAATTTTTAATGAGCCAAAAAGAATGCACGTCACACCTCTGTTTATCAATTTGCACTGGCTACCAATAGCTGCTCGCATAAAATTCAAGGTCTTCCATCTTTATTTGACCCTCTAACTTTAGCCCTCTCTATTCTAATTCTATTCTTTAAAAAAAAAAAAACCTTGCCCCTTTTAGACTTGCACTCTATTAATTTACTAACTGCTTGTTTTCTTAAAAAAAAAAGCTTGCTCTATTTTTTTTCTATTATATCTATTTTATTTTTATTTATTCTATAATTTAAAAAAAAACAAGAAAAAAAAACCCTTGCTACTGTCACACTTTGCTACTTAGGAAGCACGCTGGAGGCACGAGTAAACAAAAACAGGCTTTTAATGCACGGAACAATGGGTACCTCAATACTGGGGACAGCAGGAAACACATGACTATAACAAGTAGAACCGACAGAGAAAGACTGCACAGACAAGGACTTAAATACAGGGGATGATTGGGGAAACACAGGTGTATGGGATGACTAATCAAACTAATTAACAAAACGAGGACAGGAACATGACCAAATAAGGGAACAGAAACAGGGGCAAAACATGACACAGACAGTCCATGATCATGACAGCTACATGTACTGCGTTAATATAACTGAGACTTGTTATAGCACTTGCATATCATTGCTCTCTTGTTGATTTTGATTGCTTCCATTGTCCTCATTTGTAAGTCGCTTTGGATAAAAGTGTCTGCTAAATGACTAAATGTAAATGTAAAATGATAGTGTGCTTAATAAGAACGTCTCACCAAAGAGCCATGGTTGTTACTAGCATGATGATACTAGCTTGGAATACTCTGTGTTGAAGACAGTTGTGATATCTCCCACAGAAGTAGTTCTGGAAAAGAATACAAAGTAATCACAATTGTCGCATTTATTGTACAAATTAATAAGCAAAGTGATTTTCACATACTGTGCTAGACTGCAGTGGCGGTTGCGTTGATGGTGGAAGTTTTGAATGGAGTGTGTTGTTTTTGTTGATTTTACTGTGAAACAAAGATTTAAGTAGAACAAAATATTTCAGATGATGAAATCTGAAAAAACTGTTACAATCATTATGCAACAATATGAGTTTGCATTTGTAGAATTCAAACTGGAATATCAGCAGTCGCCAATTATGCAATGTAAAAAAAAATAATAATTAAAATAAAATATTGTTGTAAAACTGGGAAACAGTTAAGTGTTTCCCAACTCTGGAAGTTGTATTATTGTTAACAAAAAAATAATGTGAAATGATAATATTTTCATTAACGCAAATAAGAACAAAAATAGGCATATCTAGGAAAAACTGACAATAAAATACATTTTCATACTACAAAAATCCAGCAAAATTAAATAAAATGGCCATAAATAAATTTTAGGTTAGGTTTTTGATATATCTTATATTATTAAAAATTTTAAGCCTGCCTGCATTAAACATGAACATGGTGTCATGGTTCTGATGAGGGATGAAGAGAGGACTCAATTGCAGGACGATGGGCTTTTAATAGTATTAATAGTAAAAATAAAACAAAAGCAAACACAAACTACCCCGAGGAACAGGCAGGCAGGCCAGGCACAAGGCACCACACAGCAAGACAAGGCAGGATCAGCAACACGGGTAAATACAACACATACCACAAATTAGGGCTGCACGATATTGGAAAAAACTCACATTGCGATATCTTGTTTTTCTGCGATATATATTGCGATATGAAAAAAAAAATCACCAGATATAGCTTCAATAGCTCTATTTGGAGAAAATAAAAATCAATGATTGGGGTGATTTTGTAGGTGAGTAAATCAGCATAGGAAATAAACAAATTACAAGCATAGATAAATATATACAACAAAGATACAAATGAAATAAACAGTGCTTTGTATTTTTAAGGCAAGTTTAACAGTATTCAGATACAGAAATTGAATAATCAAATGTAAAATAACACAGCATAGTCTTCACTTCTCAATTATATTCCTTCTTAGAGAAAAATGGTATCTGTCAGGATTTCTCCATTCTGTCACCGATGGCGTTTTGGTTCCTTGCCGCTGTCGCCTCTGGCTTGCTTAGTTGGGGACACTTCATTTCCAGCGATATCGTTGACTTGATTGCACAGATACTATTTAAACTGTACTGAGCTGGATGATGACATCACTGAATTCAATGATGAACTGCATTTAACTGAAAAATTAGTGTTTACTATTGTCACTTTGCATTATTGACACACAATTTGTTAGGGTGTGTAACCCTAACCCTAACCCACAATTTTCCTAATTAATGCTGTACAGTTGCTTTGACACAATCTGTATTGTTAAAAGCGATATATAAATAAAGGTGACTTGACTTAATTTAAATTTTTAGGTGAACTATCCCTTTAAATGAAGATGAGAAATGCTGATTTTGCCGTTGAAATTATTTTAAATTTTGTTATATTTAATTTCAGTTACCATTTATTTTATTTCAAGTAACAAACATGTTTTATGGTGTACAACTAAAACTGACTTGACTTACTGTAGTAATGTTGCGTTTATCGGTGTGAATCTGCGTTAGGTTTTGATGCTCATTGGTGGAGATTGCGTGACTGAGAATTTGGAGTGTCGAGAGCCGAACCTCTGCCTGTGGTTTGCCCGGCGCTTCGTGCGTGGAGAGGGACTCCTCCGACCCTAACTGAAAATTGAGTGTTTACTATTGTCATTTCACAATTTTCCTAATTAATGCTGTACAGTTGCTTTGACACAATCTGTATTGTTAAAAGTGCTATATAAATAAAGGTGACTTGACTTGACTTGACTGTACAAAAGTGTTTTTCTCTGTGTGTTTTTTTGTTTGATTAACATGACACAGAAAGCAACAGGACCATTAAACTGCTGTGAATATGTTGTTATCCCCTTTTTTCTCAATTGTTTACCTTCACCTAAGCCATAAGCAACTGTTTTTACAAGGATACTTGCAGAGACATGCATTTTGACATAATTTCGCGCATATGTGTCATTTCAGGCACAAATAGTAGTGGAAGTGAACGGAATTCAGAGTTCACGTGCATCTGCGTGGCTCTCACCGTGTCTACACCAGACGCCAGCGGCATGGCGAGATGCGACAAAATACTATAGAACCCATTATAATCAGTGATGCTGTGTGACTGACTACACTGGAATGTGGCGCGTCACGACAAATCCCTGACAGTAAACTGATGCCTTGTTCTATTTATGACGTACTGACACAAAGTCTGCGAACTCTGAGCACTCCTGGATTGAAGAGGGTTCCTGAGTGGACTCCGAGGCAGGCTCCTGGGAAGCCAGAGCAAACTCCGAAGCGGCCCATGCCCACAGAACAGCCCTGAGGTGAAAGGCGAAGACAGCCTTCTTGACAATGGCAGCAGCAGTGAAATCGGGCGGCTCTGTAGCAGCCTCTATGGCTGAGACAAGGAGAGCGGGCTGCTCATTGACGGCCTTCATGGCAGCAGCAGTGAGAGTGGGCTGTTCTGTGGCAGGCTGTTCTGGAGCGGGGAGCTCAGGGACCACTGGGACCACCAAAATTGGGACCACCGGACAAGGGACCACAGGAGTCGGGTCCTCCAGGACCATCGGACTAGGGACCACAGGAGTCGGGTCCTCCAGGACCACCAGACTTGAGACCACCGCAGTGATGCCAGCTGCTCGCACTGACACTAGTGGTGGGTCCGCCAAACTGGTAACTAGTCTCAAACCCCTTGGGCCCACCTTAATGACTTCATGCAGCACGTTCATGATACCCAGAAACACTGACGTGGTATCCATGATGGCTGAAGACTCTGGTGTGGCGGCAATGATGGCTGGAGATTCTGGTCTGGTGGCCATTTTGTGATGAGGCTCTGGACTGGCGGCCATCTTGTAAAGAGGCTCTGAGAATCTCTATGTTACTCATCCTCCAACTGCTGATGGGCTCATTAAGGGCATAGTTGAACAGGTCCTTGAGAGCAGCATTGTTGTAGTCCAGCCCCTCCACTGCACTCCTGAACTCCATCGCTAATTCCCTCAAGTCAGTCCCCTGTTGACGGAGGTAACTCAGAGATGCTACCTTAAGCATGCATTGGTAGAGGGGGCTGCAGATAGTGGAGGCTGATAGATGGAGTGAGCCCATTCTCTGCTGAGTCGTCCTTTGGCTGGTCTGTTCTGTCATGGTTCCGATGAGGGATGAGCCGAGGAGTCTCGTCCCATCATGACCACCACGCCAGAGTCTTCAGCCGTCATGGATGCCACATCAGTGTTTACAATTTTCATGAATGTCGCATCTGAAGCTGTCAAGGTGATTCCTAGGTGTGTGAGACTGGCTTCCAGTTTGGAAGACACACCGCTTGTGTAAGTGAGCAGCTGGCATCTCTGTGGTGGTACCAAGTCTGGGGGTCTCAGAGGTGGTCTCACTGGCAGTAGTTTTGTGTGTTTGGGCCGCACACTGCTCTCCAGCCCATGAGTCTGCTCCAGAGCCCGCTCCAGTCCATGAGTCCACTCCAGTGTCGGCTCTAGCCCCTGAGTCAGCTCCAGTGTCTGCTCAAGCCCTAGAGCTTAGTCCCGTATTTGCGCCAACCTGTGAGCTTCTGTCCTGTCTTGTCTTGACCACCATGATCACCTGTGAACTCTTTGCCTGTCCTGTCATGGCCAAGGAGGCTGTCTCTAAACTCTCTGCCTGCCATGTAGCGACCACGGAGGTCGTCTCTGAACTGTCTGCCTGTCCTGTTATGGCCAAAGAGGCCATTACAATCACCAGCTAGAGTGCCCTTGATGTCTATCAGAGGGCACTCCATCCCAGACTGTTGCCACTCCATCAAGGACTTCATTCCCCATAATCCGCTGCCCGGTCTCATCAGCACTCATTGTTTGCACCTGTGTCTCATTAGTATTGTTAGCTCACCCTATATAAGCCCGGGTCTCTCTGTCATTCATTCCTAAAGCCCAATCCCAATTCTGTTTTATACCCCTTCCCCTATGCCTACGCCTAACCCTTGCCCCTTGAAACAGAGTGTCAAGGGGTAGGGCTGAAAATATTCCCCTAAGAAATGGGACACCACTACTACAGCGTTACATGTCATCATACGTCGTCGCTAGCTCCTACGTCAAAAAAATGCGCCGATGTTTATCACAAACTCAGACGTGCGGTAAAAGATAAGTTACCTGCAACCGGACTAGTATTTATGTTGTCAAATCAGCAGGTATCAATAAAATATGTTGTAGAACTATCGTGCAGTCAATAACATTAGCAAACTTTTATCATAGCAATTTTTTGCAAACATTTCTTCAGAGAACATAACCGTACATATTAACACAAGATTGAATGCAACATAAAACAAATGATTATTTGTTATTAAAATCCTTATATTAGCCAAAAAATATATACTGTATATTATATGCGGGGAAATTTATCATACCCCTTCGTTTGAAGTGAGGTCCCGAAAAATCTTTGTTTGAAGGGCTATCTGGCCCTTCCCCCTACCCCTACCCCCCCAGCCAAAAGAGAATTGAGACACCCCTACCCCTTCATTTATTTTTAGTACATGAAATAAGCCTGCTCCCGAGCAGGTTTTTATTTGTTATTAAAATCCTTATATTAGCCAAAAAATATATACTGTATATTATATGCGGGGAAATTTATCATACCCCTTCGTTTGAAGTGAGGTCCCGAAAAATCTTTGTTTGAAGGGCTATCTGGCCCTTCCCCCTACCCCTACCCCCCCAGCCAAAAGAGAATTGAGACACCCCTACCCCTTCATTTATTTTTAGTACATGAAATAAGCCGGCTCCCGAGCAGGTTTAAGCTTACGGACCTGTTGCTATGACAGCAAGTCCAGGATGAGCTTAGAAGAACCAAATAATCCAAGATCATGCCAAATCGTCAACAATTAAATCATACGAAGAATGAAAAATCGTTGTTTTGGATCGTCTGATTGTGTATGACCTTGCCTGTTATTTGACTACGATTGTGGATTACCCCTTAATTAAAATACAGCATTTGGATCCTCAACCTTCATGTCTGTGTTCAGCTCATGACAGACTGCAAAGATTTTTTTTTTAATTATACCAGTGCATTGCCTTTGGCATCTACAAACATTAATTCTAAAATGACTAACACTGGAACTACAAAACCACAAAAAACCCTGAAAACTAAACAGAACAATGACTGAATAAAAATGTACAAAGACTCAAATAAATTGAAAAACAAATAAAAAATTAAATAGAAATCAAACCTGAAATGATTCAATTAAAAAAATCATAACTATAATAGTCTTGTCTGAAAGCTCTATTTCATGGCATTTTTATTTTAGTATCTCTGAGATCCTATTGTAGTTAATAATAGTTTTTAAATTAGTTTTAACTTTTATATTTTAAAGTTGTAGTCATTTTGTTGTTTTTGTCAATTTTATTGGTTTTTAATGTCTGTACAGCTTTCATTCATTTTAATTTCCGTTTTTTTTTAGTACATCTAGTTAAACTAAATTAAAATAAAAATATTTTCAGTTAATATTTATTTTATTTCAGGTAACATTGATGCATAGAGCTCCATGTTTGTTTGAGACAAATGTGTAAGAAACTTGGAGAATGAGCGTCTGAGATGGACAGAGAAAGAAATGCAGTGCAGAAAGTTTAAGTCAATCCAGACCCTTTAGCAGAAGTGCCGCTGATGGAACGCATGCTACCCAGCCTCTTCAGTTTGGCCAAGCGAGTGTTCCAGACCTCAAGCTCCTGAATACGAGTCTCAAGGTTATCTGTGAGTTTACACAGCTGCTTCACAGCACCCACATTCTCCATAAATATCTGCTCCTTTAGGACAAAACAACCAAAATTACTTTCACATACCATACGTGTCAAGTAAAATTCATTGCAACCTATAACACATATTTGAGAGACTCACTTTGTCCACCATGAGAAAATTATCAATTTTCTCCCCGTTTACGCAAGTAATATCGCCCATCTCCCTTACGGCCAAAGGCAGGAGTTCTCTGACTTCCTGCGCTATGATTCCTAATCAAAGAGACACCTGATATGTGAGAATCTGTCTTCAGAACATTGTATTATATAAAGTGCAGTGTATATGCTAATTTAGCCTGTACCCGTTTCATGACGTTGCTCAATTCCCATCCTTGAGGCAAACTCTGGTTTGTAATCATATTCCACAATTCTCATCTGAGCGATCCGCTTGAGCTGCTCCGTTGAGTCCACCTACAACATCACAGACACAATCCATTTGATTAAACCATGTGTTATTGCTCAGATATAAGGCTCCGTTTACACCTGTAAATAATGTGTGTCCCCAATATTTATTCTGGAATCAGGGTCTCTGATTTGAGTGTTTTTCACTGATCGGATCCATCAAGACTGATGTTAATACCAGATGTAAACAAGATCACTTTTGGGAGGCCATCCATTTGATTAAGTCATTAACACTGCTGTCCCAATCTTGTTTGAATACCATTTTGATTAGTTTGTCTTTGTATTGAATAAGCAGAGAGACACTCACTTCCTGAATGTTTTGTTTGGCCCTTTTGTCTGAGGGATGCGTGACATTGCCCATTATCTTGACATTCCCACAAACCACCAAAGCCTCATCAGGGCTGTCTGTGTTAATGCCGATCCTCCCGTGACACACCACAGACTCAGGGATCGGTCCTTTTTGCCAGAGCATGTCACTATCATTCTCAAACTGACCAGGATTGGAGGCCTTTAGATGAAGAGATGATAAAAGTTTGAGAACAACTTTCATACACTATCAAGACAAGTCCAATGGAAAACTCCCATTACTGAAGCAGAAGTCCTTGAGGAAAATATGTGCAAATATAGACTTCATAGCAGAATATGTTGGTTACGGTTATTGTTATGGTCCAACAGCTTACCCTGACGATGATTTTTTCAGAAACATTAGCAACCAGCAGAAAACTTTCATCGTTCACAGTAGCATACAGACCAACCACCATCTTAAAGTACCTATGAAACATAAGCAAGCATACAGTTAGTTACCATTATTGCCATTGACCATATTTGTATGTGCATTAATGAATGTTAATATTGATTACTTTATTGGATTACTTTATTGATGTTTTAACTTTATTTGTTTATTCTCTCAGATATCATTAAAAATATAATTTGTGTTTTGAAGATGAACAATGAAATACACTTTATACTGTAAGGAATACAAACACACAGTGTAAGTTTCTGTGTAACAGCATTTACTGTGAACTGATTACGCAACTCTGAGACACTGAAAACACTAGATCATGATCTATTTTGGATGCAAAACAGCAATGTATATGCTAAAGTGCCCTTTCGGCTTGATCTAGGTGCCCCCGGATCGCAATTTCAACAGAGAGGGTCCCCATCCACTTCTTCCCTGCCCCTCCGGAGGTCTGTGCACGCCACTGTGCATTCCCGAAGTCCACTCTAAAAGTTATTTTAGTAGTCTAGAAAATCGTCAAGAAATCTTTTTAAGAGGCCTGTTTGGAAGATTATTCTCTTTAAAGTATACAGATAACTGTCTAACTTAACCGAACACCTGACCAAAAATCATGATATATCAAGAAATGGCCTGCACATACAAACAAATGTGTCGAACCAATTAAAATTTTACACTAAAGTACTACTTTGTTAGTCCAGATTTGCCTGGATCATTTTACGCAACCTGTTGATTGTAACTGTGAAAATAGTAAACTCTATGTTTGGTTGTATCACTGCCCTATCTAATGACAGAATAGCTGCATCCAAAATTGCATACTGTCTAGTAGGTACTGCAATTAAAACGTAGTTTTTGGAAAAAGTATTTTTTTACCAGTACATTTTATGAATACTGGTAGTAAGAATGAAATTTGGAGGTACAACAACTGCCATGTTGTTAGTCACATGACCTAGCTAGTACACTGCCATTCACAAATCCTCTCAAGTCTTCATGGCATAGTAAAGTGTCATCCAGGTTCTACTGTTTTTCGAATACTATGAATTCAGGCATACTACTCTTTTGGCGTACTGTTTTTTCTATACTATATAGAATGGAGCTAGGCATATTCGGACATAGCATATGTCTACAGGTTGGACCTGCATTCAGAGATGACAGAGATTGTAACTAACCTCTGATCAGGATTGGGTTTGCCCTTTTTTCTCATGTTATTCGCTGTGGTTTCACTGAAGTGTAAGCGTCCTAATGTCACCTTTGTGATTTTGTCTCCTGGCAGATTTACTCTAAAAGAGATGTTAAACCAAACATCAGTATAAATGACACATAATAAAAATGTTTTTCCACATGCTTTAAGTATCCTGACACCTACCTGACCAGTAGGAAAGGCTTCTTGCTGCGGTTTGACTGAGACTGCTCTATGGTGATGAAATGGTTCTGTGCTTCCAGCTAAAATAGGGATTCAAGTATCAAACAAACCATTTGCATTCAGAACATAAATGTTTCTGTAAGGTTTTCATCCATGTTGTCACTACCTTCACCCCAAACACATTCACGTGGAAGCTCTCTATGGGCATGAGACCAGCTGACGTTCTAACAAATCTAGGTTCTCCAACCATCACTATGTGAACTGTCACCTGGAAGTGGTTCTTCTTCTGACACACAAAGGCTTCATCAGCTGTGGAGTAGCTGAAACCCTTATCAGTGTCCACATGATAACCTGGAGGTGGTCTACACAAAAGAAAAAAGACACATGAGCTTCATGAAATTTATTGCAAAATGACATCTTGAAAAATAGAAGTAGAAGATGTCTTCTAATGATAAAGTGAAGTTTTATACCACATGGCATGTATTATGGGCCCTAAAATTCCCCTTTCACTCAGAATAACAGGGATGCAATGTACAAATGAGATATAAAAGTCTTATGCATTTCCAAAACATACAGCAAAGTTCAATAGTATTACCATGTGTTCGGTCATGTCCCATAGTAATATTATGCTATTCTTTGGTCTACGAGTACCAGAATTTGCCATCTAATATCATTATGGTACCATGATTCTGGTCCATCATCTCAGGTTAAGAAGTCTTGGTAGATACTCACAGGATTTCAGATCTGCTGTTGTGGAGTGAGCACCACTGACTGGGCTGATAACGGTCCCACGTGAGCAGCTGGTGCACACTGCCCCCTGGACTTCCACCAGCGGTGTCACTGTCATAACACTGTGCTTCGTATGATCCACTTTCTGGACCTTAAGAAAACGTTTCGTGAACCTAGGAGAGGAGGTAATTCTGACTTTGCTATGACAATCTGGCGCTTCTGAATCAGCTACTGTTTTGTTATTTGTTTAAGTATTTGCTATTGACTGTTCAAATGCAGTCGCATCGTGTGTGTGTGTGTGTGTGTGCGCGCGCGCGTGTGTGAGCGCGAGAGAGAGCGCGAGAGAGCAAGAGTGAGCGAGAGAGAGAGAGAGAGAGAGAGAGAGAGCGAGAGAGAGAGGGGGTCACATTATCACAGTGGAGTCAGCTGTCTTAACCGTGGCTTGTGTACTGCACACATACCAGCTTCATCACTGTGTCTGTCACGCGACTCTGTTCCCCTTTCGGGCTCTGTCTTTACATTTATTTTGAAAGATGAAGCTCGCGATTATGGTAAGGGGCGTTACATTTCCGACGAGTGCTTGCGGTGTTCGGCCAATCACAATGCACTGGGTCAGCTGGCCAATCAGAGCAGACTGCGCTTGTCGAAGGAGGGACTTTGTAGAAAACGAAGCGTTTGAGAGAGGCGGGGCATAGAGGACCTACAATAATGTACAGTATTTGAAAAATAATGTGTTTTTTGAACATTAAAGCATGTCAACATATTCTGTTACACCAAATACACAAAATAATGATCTTTAAAAAAGCATCATATGACCCCTTTAAGGAAAGACTCACAAAATTACATATAAAGGCTTGAATATACTACACAACTAGATCAAACCTAGAGATCAAACATGCTTGATATTTTGAGACAATTTTAAAACACATTGTTTTCATTTGTTATGCGTCTCCTAGCAAAGAGGTGCATGTTTCTGTGTGAGATTGTTGTTGTGTTCGGAATGACTTGTAAGCCTGGTAGTTTGTGATCCTCAGTCATTTAGTGTAATAGTTTTTCTCTGTAACCATTAACAGTCGTAAAGCAAGTGTATGATGCCTAGTATTTATAAGAGTTTTATAGTGTATGAGGAACATTATCTTTGGAACGTCTTCACACACTGTCATTGCTGCAGACTGAAGTTACTAGTTTGTTTTTATCTTTTTTTCTATCATTACAAACACTGACTGTTTTAAATAACATCAACAATAAAGTCTACTTTTTTAACTGGGAATGGGAAATAAATCTATGTATAAACTGATGACCTTGGTGTTGCTAGCATCATGCTCTCCTGTGTAAGCGCAAAGACTTTAGATATACCAAGACGGTGCACTAATATTACTGTGAATGGAAGAAAGTGCAACACGCAATATGTCGGAATAATTCATCTACTGAATAAAAGAGCCAGTGGCCAGTTAATGTCACTGCGTCATTGCAGTCAGAAAAAAGAAAAGAAACACGTTTAGCCAGTGGTGGAAAGAGTACTGAAAAAATATACTCAAGTAAAAGTACCATTACCTTCCAAAAAATGTAGTGTGAGTAGAGTAAAAGTACTTGTCCAAAAAACTACTTGAGTAAGAGTAAAAGAGTAGCCTATTTAAAAGTACTCATGAGTATTGAGTAGTGAGTACTGAGCTGTGGATTCTACCCCCTCATAATAAACCCTGTACACCGCAATTTATACATTTTAAAAACGTTGTACATTCTGTAATTCACATTATCTTGTTTGTCATAAAGAATGAAGAATATCTATCATCCAGTTGGTCCTCAATTTGTGTTTCCAACACACTTTTTCACAGCGCGCATCACGCGCTCAAACTCATCAAAAGTCAACAAGTTCCACAAGCAACAACTACTTATCCAAGTGACTGCTGCAGAACGCACGCGAGAGAGAGAGAGACGAGGCAGCGCAGATCGCGCGTCTCATAAGTGAGTGGGAATTTACCGAACGTGGCACTTGCGGGAGTTAACACTTAACACTGTATGCAATACCCACAACCTCACAGCAAATTTCAGGCCGTGTAGATAGGCAAGCATATATACAAATCATTTAGTAAGCAGAAATCCGAAATTTACCTTAACATATTAAGTTAGAGGAAGATGCGACTGAATTGATGCTTGAAGAATGCACTTCCAGCCGCCATGATAAACAGAAAATTAAAATAAGCATGTAACAACCACAAACCGAGGAAAATAGTGGAGTAAAAGTACCGATACATCACTTAAAATGTACTCAAGTAAAAGTAAAAGTACACAATTTTTAAACTACTCAAAAAAGTATAATTACTGATAAAAAAACTACTTAATTACTGTAACGTGAGTATTTGTAATTCGTTACTTCACACCCCTGCGTTTAGCCAAAGAACTACACACTTACGCCTGCACTGACTGGTCCAGCCTGACATATAAGCTTTTTAATGCTATTTCAGCATAAGAAACAATATTTATGGGACCGTTCATGTCAGATTTTGTTGTTGATTTGAAATATGTTACTTAAATGTGAGAGTGGCAAGCAGTTTTTGAGATTTCAGGAACTTCTCCATTCAGGTTGCCTGAAATAGCTGCGCAGAGACGTTGCAAATATGGCTGCCGAGTTAACTGCCAGGAAAAATACAGATTCAGTTGCAGGTAACAGAAAAGTTTATTACGCTCTCACTGAGCACTAGGAAAAAACAACGGGAACACAAAATAGAGGAAGTCCAAATCAAAGTCCACAGGACCAGGAAAGAGCCTCTCAGCAGGGACCGATCCTAGCGTCATCCGTGACCCAGCGTCAAAGTTACACTGACCAGAGCGTTGTTCGTGACGCAGCGTCGAAGACTCACTGAGCTCCCCGATGAAAGCATTGAGCGTGCAGAGAGGGGCTGGGGCGATGTATCCGAAACTCAACAGAAACTGAGAAAGCCAGGGCAGGTAGCAGAACAAATATTGTCTGGCAGGATGAGAAGGAGCAGTTCAAAACAAAAAACAAAAAGCAAAACAATTCCCTACTTCGACAAAGTGAATAAGTAAATGCTGGAGCTACCCAGATAGCACACGTACGTCTGCAAGATGTCTGTTAAAGATCGCTTCATCTGGAAAGCATTTGCTGTGTACAAACATCTGATAGACACCTTTCAGATGTCAGTTCTACATACATTCTTAATCATAAACATCTTAAAGACATCTTCTAAACATCTATTTGACATCTGATAGGAAACGTCCTATAAATGTATTGTAGATGAGCATAGCTCTAAAAATGTCTTGCAGATGTAAATGCAGATGTCAAATAGACGTTTCTGTGATGTACATGTGCTATCAGGGTACAGTCAACAAGCTGTGCAAAGGCGATGAATTGTCATTAAGTATGTTAGTGAAGGTACGTATGGTAGCATCATGCCTTTCGCTCAATGAAGGCAGAGAAGTTGGGATACCTATTATCCAACAACAACGTTTTTGTACCCTCTTTAACTCATCAGAGAGACCTTTAGGCAGTCCACCCCACAGTGGGCTTGCATACTCAAGAACTGGCCGTATGAAAGTATATTTGCATTAAAACATTGCATGGGAGATCCGCTCTCTTTGCAGCACTAAGATAATAAATTCTTGGCTGTGACTTTGAAATCATATACTTGGTGTGCATCCCACGACAAATCAGATGATATTTTAACTTCAAGAATTTAAAAAATGGAAACTCTGCTGATTTCATGTCCCGAAATTACTGGAGAAGGAGGAGAGAGCATTTGATCATCTCTCCTGGCACTAATTACCATATCCATGGTCTTAGCTCCACTCATTGCCATTGAGAATTCCTGTCCCCACTCTGCCAATGAGTCCAAGGCCTTCTGGGTTAGGCCAGGTAACGATCCCATTAGAAGCTTAGTGATTGTTAGATCATTAGCATATTTCACAGGAATTGTAGAAGGGGGCAGATGTAAATCCAAGCTGTTTATACAGATGACAAATAGTAAAGGGGATAAAAGTCCCCCTGGGGAACACCAGCTGGAATTGGATAAGAGTTAGATACACAGGGACACCACTTCACCATTTGCTCTCTGTTACTCACATAACTCCTTGCAATAAGCCAAAGGGAGCGCCGGGCATTCACATCAGCCAGAGCATAAAGTAACGGACAATGCCCAATTGTGTCAAAAGCTTGAGTAAAATCAACAAAAACAGCGTGAACATCCATTTTGGGATTGTTATTAAGTGCTTCATGCTATAATTGTAGAATCCGAATCAGAGCAGTGTCAGTTGATCTGTTCGCCATAAGCCATGTTGTGATAGAGGAATCTTTGTGACTATCTTCCAGAATGGCATCTCTGAGGATTCCTTCGTACACTTATCTGCTGGAAAAATGTGATTTGATTTTTTATTTTTTTTTGGAATAGCTTTAACCATAGCCTCCTTCCATTGATTTGGAAAAAAAGGTTTTGTTGAATGCATGTGTTAAAGGTATCACATTACACAAGTGCCAGTTCTTCATGAAAGGTGTTTAAGACCCACGGAGGAATGCAATCAGCACCAGCAGCCATCGCTGCATTCACTTTGCGGAGTCTAGCTTTAACTTGCCCAATACTCAGAGGAGGTACTCGACCATCTGACAGCTTATGGACAACATCTTCCTCAGAGGGAGAAGTGTGGATAACTTGATCCCATACTGAAGCAAAATGCTTAGCCAAACTGTCACACTCATGTTGCAAGATGTTAGAATCCTGAGACCTCACATCTCTCCTGTCTTATTCCATCCCCATCAGTGCCTTTACAGACTTAAACCACTACTTTGGCTTGGTGCAGCGTAGTTCCTCCACCTCGTTCTGGTAATGTTGTATCTTCTCTTTCTTAATTTTTAATTTTTTTTGCCAACAACTGATTTTAAATTTGTATAACGAGTTTTGTTACCAGAGCAGAATGCACATTATGTCTTTTATCATATCTTTAATTTGTAAGGTCATCCAAGGCTTGTCATTATTAGTAATAGAAACTTTCTTAAATGGAACAGTTTTGTCCAGCATAGACCTAATAGTGGAAGTAAAGGCACTAAAATTATCTTCAAGGTCAGTAACGTCATAAATGTGAGAAAAGTCAGCACTATTCAAGAGAAGCCCCAGTTGTCTGTCTCAGGGGTACGTTTTC